AATTTGAAAACAGCCAATACAGTTATGTATAGGTAAACTAATTCATCTTAGATAAAGCAAATTGGAGTTGGAATGATGTCCAGTCAGTAGAAATTTATGAAAACAAATGACGTAATTACCAAATATTCTTTACAATATTCGACTCCATAATATAAAGAGAAGAGCACCGATGCTAAAAATTATCTAAGGTGTCCCATAGATTGTTTTTTTATAAACAAATTAAATGTTTTTCAGGACAGCCCCATCATCAGATTTTTCATTATACAGACTGTAACCAAAATCATATCAATCATCAGCAAAAAGTGTTTAAGTAATTACAATTTATGTGACTATTTAATTTTATAACACTTCATTTTACAGGCTACAAAAATTATTAAGCATAGTTTAATAATAATCAATAGCATTATTTTTAAAAATAATTTATAAATAAAAATCAGCCTGATAGTGGAAAGAACAATTAAATTATAATTTGATGTAATAAAATTACAATATGATTTGCATATTTTTAAAATATGCAAATCATACTGTAATTTTATTACATCAGAATAATTATTTTCCACTTCATTAAAATGCAATAATAATAATAATTTCATGTTATGAAATAACACATTTAATAACAATTAAGTAATTGGCAGTAATGCAACTCATGTTGTTTCTTTAAAAATTGTTTATGAAATTTGTTCTTGATGAGAACAAAATGATTACAGTATGTAATTTAAGAAATCAAAGTTACTGTTAAAGCCAAACAATTGCCAGAGTAGATCAGACTATATTACTGCTACTATTAATAATTAAATGCTAAGTAATTTGGCCAAGAGGTAAGCATTAGGGCACCATCTCTTATTAAATTTAGTAATTATATTTAAATTAATATTTATTAATTAATTTAGTAGGTTCTGGAAGAAAAGAATCGAACCCACAACTGCCACTTACTGTGTGAATGCATTGCCAGTTACACTACCAGGACCTCCGTCCGATCTTTGCTTATAGAACTTTTAATTTAGATATAACCATAATGATTGCTCATTGCAATTTTATTTTGAAAACGTGCAGCTATTTTTGATATAGTTAAATAGGAATTGAGAAACATTTTCATTTTTTATGGCCAATTAATTATTCAGATAACAAGTATCTTAATACAAAAAACTTTTACAATATAAGCGTTAAATTAATTTATGTTTAATTTAACGCTTATATTGTAAAAGTTTTTTGTAATAAATGATTAGTGTGCTGTCCATCACTATATTATAAGTATCTTAATAATTAACAGAGGTCCGAGTAAAGTTACTTGTAACACACCTTTACAATAAGTCAATAAAAATGGGTTTGTGTCAAGTTCCAGACCAATCTTTTTTTCCCAGATTATTCTAAATTAATTTATTTCTGATGATTAAATTTGAAATGAGATGACAACTTAGCTAATCCAAATTATTTATCATCTTAATAATGAATTAACTGTACTATTGGTTTGTAGCCCAATAAGAATCCGGCTGCTTCATTTGATTAGATGACCAATTGACAATATTATACAGAACTAGTGAAAATGGTGGGCTATCATGTTGTTCCTTCCTTAAATTCAACTGTCTTGTGGAATTTAAAATTTTCATAATATACACATAATGTAAATTAACAATTCACTATATATATTACATATTTCTTAATTTTATTTTTAAAAAATTAACCAACTGTAGGAATTTCTTTGGAGTCTGCTATTGAACAAGGATACAACAGATCTATATAATCTTTTAATTTTTAGTGACACAATTATGGTAATTATATTCACTTAAAAGAGCTATTTACATGAGTAAAAATTATTGTAACGTTATCACAGTGTTGGGCTTCAATTTTTAATCATATTTTTAATTTAATTTCATCTAAAATATATGCTCTTCATCCAGTTAGTGGATTTTGTAAAAGTATAGCATAAACACCAGACTTTTCAAAAAGTGTAACCCCAAATTTGTGAATCTAGTACCCTCTATGAAAAATTAGCTTTCAAACAAAAATGAAGTTAGATAAAAAGTTGCAATGGCTTTTATAGAAGAAGAGGCACAAGTGAAGTGCCCCATCCAACCACAATTCCTCTGGTCACAGAAGCGGTTAAAGGATGTCAACAGAAAAAATTACATTCCCAGCTAGAGGTATCCGTTTTTACAAAAGTTTCTAGTGCATGTTCTTCCCGTCCTGTCTCACCATCATTTACTTACTGTGATGATTACAATGCTTACAACATATAATACTTATTATGCTTTGCAAATACCGAATTAACATTATCACAAAAACATGACGATGATTAAACTTTACAAAAGCAGTTTAATGGACAAATGTCTGAATGCTAGAGAAGCTAAAGGCTTGCCAACTGCTTGGAAGTAAATTGTGGAAAAGAAAATAAAAATAGGATGACTCATAACCTTTAATTTGTAAGGTATTTACAACCAAGATCAAACTTTTTATTCGTTTTTGTGATTGGATTATTTATTTTTTCAATATTTGTTCATTCAGTTAAACTGTTTGTTTTTTATGTTATGTTTTTGTGATATGTTTATTCAATTTAAATTCATAATATGTTACAAGATTTGTATCTAAATTTTGTTCCAATGCTTGAAAACATTTGTTAATGACAACGTTTGATTTATAATGGTAACATGTAGTTTATGCTTGAGGATGACTCATGGAACAGGTCAAAAACATTTGTGAAAGATTAAAGTTTTTCTCAGAAAACAAAGTGTTAGAAAATTTGTTTATTTTTTAAGCAAACTGTTTAGTATCATGGATATGTGAGTTATACTTGTGATCTATAACACTTATACAATCGGCAAAATGTTCTTTATTAACTTCTCAATAAGTCAGATATTGTAGGTACCAGTATCTAATCTTGATAAGATGCTGCATGAATACAGGCTGTCTGAAAAGTTACTGTCTAGTGAAAAAGGTTTAAGTAAATTTCTAACAAAAGTGAAATTTTATGTATGATATTGCAATTTCTCCTACAGAAAATGCTAGAAATGATCTCCAGAGGCCCTAAAATCTGGGGGAGCAAGGTATAGGGAACTAGCAAGCATAATTTCTTAGGAGATTATGTGATTGGCAAAGCATTATTCCAAAACCGAAATGTCTGTGAGTGAGTGGTATCATCATATATTGCAAAGTGGAAACACATGATGTATGACTTATTGGTCTTGTATGCAATGCTGTACATATAACTTTGATGTCATTACAAATTTCTCACTACACAGTAACATTTTGGACATCCTGCATGTATATATATGTTATTAAAATATTAATAAATTACAACAATTTACTAATTTATCTAAAAGTGTTTTAGAATAGTATGCTTAAACTCTTTCTGATATACTTTTCTATCTAATTACTAACAATTCAAGCAATTGTTATTACTGCTGTCTACAATAAAGTAAATTTGTAGTAGTGAAATAATTTTTTTCATGTGCTGTAAAGAAGTTAAATCTTTTCTGCTAACGTAAAAACCTTTCTAAAACTGAATGTATAAATGACAATACTTAAACAAAATCATTTGAATTTACTCTGCCATAAGACTTATTTCTTGAGGTGTGAAAAGATGAAGAAGGATTTTTTTTTATTTTTTAATTTTCTAAGTTGAAGACTATACTTTAAGTTACTGGGCATGTTGCCTGGAAAAACAGCTTTAATACAGCTGGATAAGAAGACTCCGTAAGTCACTGGCTCGTTTATCCAGCTATAGTAAAGCTGCATTACTAAACAATGTATTCATTATGAAATGATGACATTACTTATCTTTAATTAATATTTCACACACTGTAATTAAATTACTGCTTGAAAATAGTCCAAAACTAAATACAGATATGTTTGGTTTCAATACTTGGCATATAATTTTGGTTTTTGTTTGTTACAAATGGTAATTATGAATTCCATTAAAGATTTCATACTTAATTATTAAAAACATTATTCAATATTTCAATGTAATTTAGTTTAATTAGAATTATTTCACAAACTTGTGTTAGTTTAACATTTTAAAAAATTAGATAAAAATATATGAAGTAAAGAATGGTTTAATTATTAATAATTTTCAAACAGTTTTTTTTATTAATTAATATAATGGAATAGTATATAAATTAAATATTCTAATTTATAAAATATATAGAAATATGAAGAATCTTAGAGTAATCATGAAGCCAGACAAATGATACACTTAAATATGTTTCAGAATACATGATTGGCCTCTTTTCATTTCAAATATCTCAATATTTGAAATTATTACATATAACAACAACTTTATAAGTAACTACAGGATGTCCCAAAAGTCACAATACACATGAAAATATTTTGTAACACCCTTCAAGAATGCCACTTTCAAAATAAATGGACTTTGTACTCACGTACAAAATTGTGTGTATGTGAGAACACATAATATTTCATAAATAAAGGTATATTTCAATCAAATTGTTCATTTTCCCTAAGTATGGCACCTTTTGGGACATCCTATATCTTCTGAAATGCTATAATTATCTAATAAATCAGATAAACGACCAAGACTCTCGTCTCCAATTATCAAAGTTCATTATTTTCTGCTTTTTTAGAAATCCTAATGATATTTATGTCAATTCATGACCACTTTCAAGCCTTTGGCTTAAAGTGGTAGGGAACCTCTGATGATGAGCCAAAGGGCTTGAAAGTGGTTGAGGCATACAGAAGAAACTGTATAAGACAGAATACAATACTCTTGAATTCAAATTGCTTCTAAACAAGAACGATCATCACCATGTTGGAATTGTCTCATGATGACAACGTTCAAGGGAGGAAATCTGAATTTAAAAAAATATCTGATATCTATATCTTGTATGGTTTCTTCTTTTGATAAGCCAAAAGAATTAAGCTTGAAATAAGTGCTCAAAAATTTAAAATATTAATACCTTTTATAACTTTGATTATAAACGTTAAAATTACTATCATTTGCAGTGCTGTATGATCACTCCATATAACTAAAAATGAAAAATTCTTACATCTTTAATCAGGAACTGAAGTTGGCTGTTGCTATAGATATGAACCAACACTTTTCATTGAAACATTAATGCAGTATGAAGTCTAAAACAAAAATTATTTTATGTAAATTGTTTTAAAATGTTTACAACATAAAAGGAAACAAAAAAGTATAAATATAAATTCATGTAAAAAGTAAAATAGGCACAACTTGTTTTATACATTAATAACTATTTTTATAAACAAACATTTCTCAAACCCGCTAAATCTGTACTACACCAAACAGCTACCAAATCTATCTTGCTATTTATCCGCATTTAAATTTAAACGTAGATAAACAGCCGGCTGGAATCCGGTAGTTGTTTAGCATAATAACTATTTTGTGTATCTTACTTATTATCTCATCAATCTTTACTTTTAATTTTATGACGGCTCTGTATATGCTTGAAAATAAATATGCAAAAATAATTCAATACTTTCTAAAATTGAATTTTAAAAAACATATCTATATTTATGTTTAAAGTAAAATCGGGCAAATAAATGCTTTTCAAAAATTTGAATATTAGCAATCTTGAATATTCAAATATCCTAAATAATTTGCAAACTTAATGAATATTAAATATAATTTCTTGCTATTTGGAACAGTGTCTATGTTCTTTGTATATATTTTTAAAATCATAATGAAGTGTTCAATGAAGACATTAGACTATTCAACATCCTTTTATTCAATCCTTTACACTGGACCAGCATAAAAAACTGAATAAAAGGATGTTGGATAGTCTAATGTCTTCAGTCAGCATTTCATTGTGGCTTTAAAAACATGTTAAATAAAATTAAAACCCTAAAAAGATAACTAACGTCATGTACAAAAGAGTGAAGTGACACGATTGCCTGTATTTGAAATAATATGAATATTGTAAACAAATTAAAATACCAAGCAAATTGTATTTGTGTGAGTGTAGTAAACGTCTTAATGAAAAAAATACAGTTAAAAATCTATTGAATTTACATTTAATATATTTATGATGAAGAAAAACTTAGTAGTAAAAATTCGAATGTATATTATTGCATCATCGTCATAATGCCACGCTGCAATTTTTAATCATCTTTTAATTTAAAAAAAATCACATAATTTCTATTCCAAACCAGACCAGCCCAGACATTCATATATAGTTAGTCAAGGCCTCTGACCCCACAAAGCTTTCCTATCTAGAGTTGATTTTAATCTATCTAACTTCATTCTTGACATTAACTAAGAACAGATGAGACAAAATGAGAATGTATAGGTCTGCAATCTGAAGATTGCAGCCCAATTATAGAAATATTGGAAGTACCATAACATACAATTAATTCAAATGATTGCAGAAGAAAAATGAGACATCTGAAAGGAATCTGTATCTATAAAGATAAAAGAATTCATAGCAATCTAAATTGTATATTTTGAACAAAAACTTATTTTAAAAAAAACTGCATATTGTGAAATAATCTCTCATAAAGCTGCTAATTGGCTTAGATGTTTTAAAAATATACATTGTGTAAATGGTTACAATGTTATCAAACCTATCTTACAAGATAATAATCGATAATAACCATAATTTTTACATATTTCTCAACTTTGATAAGTTGAGTCTTGACAGATCTTTGCCACAGATGTGTTAGTTTGCTTCATATAACCATATAGGTCAATCACCATGCTTTTAGAACAAATTTCTTAGTTTAATTAAAAGTTTAGCCCAATTGTAACATAAACAAATTCCACATTTAGATATTTATCTATTTTCAACTATTTTCTTGGAGAAAAAACTTGATAGAAAAATTGGTAAAATAATACATATTCTTTTTTTAAATGTTTTTTTAAAATTTAAACTCAAATAAACATTGTAGAATGTATTATTATGGGCTGAGTATTTATCTAACAACATATAAAATAATAATAATTATTATTCCAAGGATATTTTCACATAATTAAGGGAGTTAATCAATTTGGCATGTGAATGGATTCAACAACCTGCTATTTTTTAAATATTATTTCAAATAAACAATAACAGATTGTTATTTAAAAATAAAAACAATAACCGATACAAAATACGTCACACATTGTGCTTTACTCTAAAAGTAGGAACAACTAGAAGAGTTAGGAGAGCAAACTGTAGAAAAGACTTAGGCTTCTACCCTGCCAACTTCTAAAACCTGGGTTCATTCCGAGTCAGAAACAATATTTTTTAAGAGTTCTATCCCAGAGTTCATCGAGTATCATCTTTCATCAACCTGGTCACTCTCATAATGGCTTGACCAAATTCACCATGGATATGTATAAAAAAGAAAGCCCTCGCGGTACACATAGGGGCAGAAAGAGTCAAAAATAAAGAAAAGAAGCTAGAATGTGGCCAGATATAATCATCAATCCATCACTGACAATTGCAAGAAATTATTATACAGCAATAGTAACAGTTAAAAAGAAAAATCCTCTGTAAACTGGACTGGTCTATAATGCAAAATACACAACAATAAACCAAAGTCCTTCCAGTATTTTGTTAAAATGCTGTGTTACTGGAAGGACTCAGGTTTTTTGTTGTGTATTTAGGAATACTAACAGTTTCCCCTGTAATTTTTAAATTACAATAAAATCTTGTTAGTATTATTTAAAAATAACTACTTTGCACATCACTAATAGGCACAAATGCAGCTCTAAACGAGGCAGTCGGGGCTTTATCAAAGCTGTAGACCAGTGGTTCCCAAAGTGGGCGATGAGTAAATATATGGAGTAAAAAGAAGCAAGTGGGCTGCAGGGGGCACTGGAAGCAGGGTACTGAACTGTAACCATTGGCAAGAATTGGGGTCACTGACTGCCTTCCCATTTCCTCTGTTAAAACGGGTAAGAAGAAGCATTGCATTTAATGGTTTCCAGATGTGAAAAACAATATACTGTACTGTAAATATACAAGGTGCGCTCCATAAATAATGTGACCAAATTCATAAAAAATCATTTATTGAACATATCTTTATAATTATTCAAAAATCTTCGAAGTAGCATCCTCCTGCATCGATACACTTGTGAAGGTGGTGTTTCCAGGCCTGGAAGGCCTTCTTCAGAATGTCCTTTAGAGCAGATGTAACATAAGCCTTGATGTTTCCAATCGTATCCCAATGTTTCCCTTTCATGGCCCCTTTTAAGTGAGGAAACAAAAAAAGTCTGCGTGAGCCAGGTCAGGACTGTAAGGTGGCTGTGGAACCAATGGAGTGTGGGTCCTGGCCAGGAAATCGTTGACAATGAAGGCGCTGTGGCTTGGCGCGTTATCGTGATGAAGTTTCCACATGTCCTTGATGTCACTTCGGCAGCGTGCAACCTTCCTTTTCAGTCTTTTGAGCACTTCCGAGTAGAAAGCTGCATTTACAGTGGTCCTGGCAGGTACAAATCCATGGTGGATAATGCCTCTGATGTCAAAGAAGACAATGAGCATGGTTTTGATCCTGGACTTGCTCATGCGTGCCTTCTTGAGGCGGGGCGACTTGTGCCATCGGAAAACTTGTGATTTGGACAAGCAATCACTCCCAAAGGCCAGCTGAATTAATATAAAGGTTTCGGTTCCCAAGTTTAATGCAAAATTTGATAGCGTAACGTTGCTCCACAAAATGATCCATTGCACCATGTTACATTACTCAAAATGGGGTTCATGGGAACAAACGTCCTCAACCACCAGCAGCTTGGAAGCAAATGAGACCAAACGAGTTTTGAAGCTAACACCCCATGCCAAATAGAAAAAAGCAAGTTAGAACTAGATACAGCATATCATCGCGTCATGAAAAATTGGTCGCATTACTTATGGAACACACCTTGTATATCTCACTAACCATATGAAGCTTTGCAAAAGTTTTAATGTACACTTCTATGCATTTGTAGCTAGAACTATTTTATGATGATCAATACCAAACCTTGTATAAACAGCTAGAAATAAGTGAGGAAGGTTTTGTATTGATTGTTTTAATGTACCATGAATGTTTTTGGTCCATCTTAGGATCTTCTTCAGTTGGAATTCTATTTAGAGTGGAATCGCACCAAAAAAAAACGGTTTTCCGTTTTTTTTTGGTGCGATTCCACTCTAAATAGAATTCCAAAAAAAAAACGGAAACGAAAAAAAAAACGTTTTTTTTGGTGCACCAAAAAAAAAACGGAAAACCGTTTTTTTTGGTGCGATTCCACTCTATTGCCGTTTCCAATGTGTTCCAATTTTCTTTTAAATTTAAACATATAACGATGTGCGCCTGCATCAACGACTATAATGCCAGGTCATACATAGTCTGTCACACCCTCGAGAGTTGTTTTTCATCTTTAAAACTGATATATTTGCCATGCTAAAAAACGGGAAAGATTGAGTGAACATTGAAAGAGCACCGGAGTATATAAAATTCTGCTCAAAGATGATAGATTTGATAGGGATCTTGTGTATATCAGATCTACAAGAAGATTGCTCAAACAATGCCTCCATGAGCATAAAATTGATATTGAGAAGAAGAACAATACTGCCTTGGCTATATATACCAGTGAAAATGGCATTACACCTAAATTACAGAAGATGATTGTGATCTGGCAAACTCAGCAGATACACCAACTTAGGAATTTGGAGGCATTAGAAATCTTTAAAGCAGAACGCCAAGGCCTTTCAATCAATTTTAAAGATGAAAAAAGGGAGTGGCAGGCTATGTATGACCTGGTATTATAGTTGCTGATGCAGGCACACATCGTTATGGGTTTAAATTTAAAAGAAAATTGGAACACATTGGAAACAGAAATAGAGCGGAATCGCACCAAAAAAGAGTTTTCTCTAATAGAATTCCACCTGAAGAAGGTCCTAAGGTGGACCAAAAATGTTTGTGGTATGTTAAAACTTTTGTAAAGCTTCATAAGGTTAGTGAGATATATATATATATATCTCACTAACTATAGCTTTGTTTTTAAGATGGATTTTAATATACTGTAAAGACACAAAATGTGAGATTCATAGAAAAGTTTTTCTAAGAAAATTTCCAAGCTTTTCTCACACAAGGGAAAATGGGTTATAGGACATTAGGTATTAGTTCATGGAACTAAGGGGGAGGTGACTGAAAAAGTTTGAGAATCATTGCGTAGACCATGCCCATAAGAGTTGAACAGTCAAAGGAACTGACAATCTACATGCCACCCTTCTCCCGAAATCAGCCAATCTGAAAGTTTAAAGACCCTCAAAAATGGATCCAGGTACAATACGATGTGAACTCAATGTGGGATTTGCCACACCCCAGTTATATATCCTCATAAGAGCAAAAAAGTCAACAGAACAATACCTGTAGACATTCTCGACAAGATATTCTTCCCCAAAGATCAGTTTTTACCACAAATCAGTATATTGCCTATTTTCCACACTCCGCATCAGTCGAGGCTTGCCTCGAATGACACTCCACACAGTCACGCACTTTGGAACGAGCAATAGCAGTCAGCTCAGTGCCTGCCCAGGGGCAAGCCCAACACCCCCTAAAACTACATAACATCGAGTATTCCACAAACAGTAGAGTGGGATACTCAAAGTCAACATAGTGGTATGAACTAAATAATTAGAGGCAAGTCTTAGTGAAGGGTCACAACTCGCCATCTCACGCAACCCAATTTTGTGGGCCATATCTGGCAAAGGGTCACTGGTAGAGATACGATTCCTTTGCTTTTTTTTGCTCCTACAGCTGCAATGAGATCCCGACCGTCTCAGAGCTCGAACGAAGCCGATTTCAGGACCCATCTGCACGCGGAGGTACGGTTCCTACGGTCTCGTTCGGAGGTGTAATCGTACCCCGAGACACGTAAAATTTCGGGGTCCAAACACCTAATTGGTGATGGCAATTTTACCACACTTTTAACGAATATACTTTGAATAATTGTAACCGTAATGGCCGTAGATGTGGAAAGTGTAAGCGAATTATTGCAAATCATCAAAATGGTGGCAATTACATAACATTTATCCCCAACTTTAAATGCCTACTTACCAAACAATGTATTTATCGCATATGTTGTTAGATAAAAGCCGAATTTATGATATTTTTATGGAATTCTTCTAGGAAAATGCTAGGCTAATGTAAGCATCGGCAAAATAATGGAAGCAAATTACAAACTTGGACACTTCCTAAAAACGTAATTCGACATTGAATTTATTTTGAAATAAAAGAATAAATTTTACCTTTAATAACCGGGCCAAAACTTTAAAATAATTATTTCGTTTTTTTTTCTTTATTTTTTACACTTTGCTCGTCTTTTTTTTTTGTTTTTTTCGCAAGCTTGTTAAATAATATCGTTTGTACGCCAGCCGATCTCCTTTAAAAGCGCCACCTGCGTCCTTTTTTATAGTCGATCGTTATTATTTTAATTTTTTTTTAATTTAATATTTTACTTTTTATTATAATATATATTTTTTAATAATCGGTATTATTAGGTCGATGATAAAAAATATTTATTGTGCCGAATGACTAGGTAATGATTCTCTTATATATATACAGTATATATATTTTTTCCAGCGTGCCCGTTACGGGTTCGATTCGACCAGCCCACATTGGGGAAGGAATGGAGTGTTTTTTTTTCACTCTTTCCGCCCTGTGGGCCGTAAAAAAGTCTGTTTTTATCAAGCCCATTATGATATCCATAATGCCCATAATGGGGCAACCGGGTGGTGAGGGACGGGGCCGACATATCCGGACGGACCACTCCCGAAAAATTCCTGGAAAAATTTCGACCCGTCCGGATTCGATCACGGGTCTCCCAGAGTGGTAGAGGATGGGTGAGAGACGAAGCTCGACATACGCGAACAAACTACCCCAGAAAAATTTCTAGTGGCTTTGACCCGTCCGAATCCGATCCCGGATCCTCGGAGCGGTAGGATGCCACCGTAACTGCTTGACTATCCGGTCGTCGATTCTCCTGTATAATAAGGGTTCGAGTTCGAATTTAATATAGACTTTCGTGATTTGGTAACGAATTGAAAAACGGTCGGATAGCCGAGGCCATTAATTAACGGCCTGCCGGTTTGGAAACCGGGGATTGAATGCAAATGGGTAAATCCCAGGAATTTTTGGATGGTCATTCGGATATGTCGGGTTCCTTTCCTCACTATTCGATCGCACCATTATGGGTCTATCCGAATGAGCTTGCGTTTTTTAGCAAGCCCATTATGGCTCTTTAGTGACCATAGGGAGGAGACACTTCTTATAAACGAAAAATTTCTCTGTGGTCGAGATCATAGCTACTTTGCCTTACTCTCAGACGACTAACTAACTACGAGCAGAGTCTCTAGCTAAACTGGTCCTTGCGCTTTAATAAATACGAGTATTTCTGCCACTTCGAGCACTTTGATCGCGTATAGTCCTAAGTTTGGCTTAGGGAGCATAGGGAGAATCAGCTGTGAACATTCGAAATTCTTTTAATATATAAAACTTTCTCGTTTTTAACGAAGATATTTCTTTTGTCTTTTTTAACGTCACCAGGAATGTCGTGCTAAAATTCTGTTAATTCCCTCCAAGTTTTTACATGCTTAATTTAATACAAATCAGCTGTGTAAAACATTTGTGAAGTTGTGGGGAATTTCTGGCGAATCTTTATCACTAGAAGTGTTTGAATTTATAACTATAACCATATGTTAATTTTATTATTGAAAGCAAAGACTCAAACCAAACAGGTGCACTCATTTTAAAACAATAATCGCATTGTCTACGATAGCCCTGGGATTCCATTTGGGAAACGTCTTCATTTCCTTCTGTTTTTGATTTACAGAGTTAGTGCAAAATCTTCTCGTTTTCTCCATTTTGAATTGCAGTGTCAGCAATTCAAAGGTTTGTTTAGTTATGGCAACGAAACACTTGGGCGATTCCTTCCGAGAGGTATTTTAAGGGAAACTGCCCCTATTTAGGCGTTACAGACGTGGAGAAAACCCGAAAAACTTCACGTGACCAGCCCGTCCGAGCGAGGCGAGGTGCGAACACACGACCGAACTCCCAATGTTCGGGGTAAGAAGACCGCTTGGCCACTGGTGGGCCTTCGGGGGTTTCTCCTATCGTCTGACGTAAAAATCAATGGTTAATTCGAGGAGTTAAATTTAGTCGCATTATATCTTGATTTATTACCGTAATAACCGGTTGAAAACAGCTTGGAACAATTTAAAAGCTAATAATTGTATGTGACTTACAAATAATTTAATGCCAAATCAAACCAAAGACTTTATTACCGAGACAATTCTTTATAATTACACTTATACCACTCAACAAACTATCTTAAAACGAAAATTTACAAATTCTACAACAGAACCAAATCCAAAGCATTACAGAGAGTGTGTTCTTCTATGACTTTAACTGAATAAAATTATTCAAGTTTTTGAGTTCTCCAAATGCATTTTTATCATAAAACTTTACCACCCTGGAAGCCACAATTATTCAAATTTGTAATTTGCTATTAATAATTCCACTTGCGGTTTCGTAAAGCGTTTCGTTTAACGCGATTTTTATCCGGAAGAATTTTACAAAGACTTCTTCTGTTTCGTGTATCAAAACTTCGTCTTTTCGTGTTTTTCACGTTCAACGGACTTTCGTTGAATTTAGACGTCACAAACAATGGACACAATTTGAGAAATTTAAATACGAGTAAAAACACAATTCAGGAGAGTCCAAGTTCGAGGGATGACAGAAATTGGCAGTCAAATTTGAGCACAGACACAAGCCAGAAGTGTCCAAATTCCAATATAGACAGGATTCTGAAGTCAAATTCGAGATAGACATAATTCGGGAGAGTCCAATTCGAGTACAGGCACAATTGAGGAGTCAAATTCGGGAGAGTCCGGATTCGTGAAGTAGACATAAATCGAGAGTGTAGACCAATTCGGGTAAATGGTAATTGACTAAAAGACAATAATAAGGAGACAAAGTCACAATTGGGAAGTCATAATCAGAATTTGCATTGACGCAATCGGGATGTCAAAATCAGGAGAAGTCATCGATGGTTTGCACAAAAAACCATATCTAAAAGTGGATGAAAAACCAATATTTTAATTTTTACTTATAAACTGAAAATTATTTTTGCAATTTTTACATTTTATTTATT